GATGTTCGAAAAAAGAAAAGCTTTTTCACGGTTGTCAACCATGTTGAAAAAACATGGTGCTGCTGATATTTGCGGAAGTCCATGAAACTCTTATCAAAGAAAGACTTAAAATTACGGAAAACAATTTGGAAAGGATGCTAAATTGTTTAGATCTGAAAACACTTTTTTCTTGCTGATGAAGTTCTCTTCGAAATCAAAAAGCCAACTGTGTCGACCAGCTGCCGGATTCTCACTTTCACCATCGCTAAAATCAGGGACGTGAACCGGTTTTGAACCGGAAAACCGCTTTTTTCTATTAATTAACTGAACCATTAACCGAACCCAAATTTTCCACAAATGTTTGATCCGAACCGAAAACCGAACCACTTTCTATAAAGGTTTAAAGGTTCGTTTCAACCAATTTTCAATAGATAAATGTACGTACTTTTTTCTTTTCGTTAAACATGGTAATACCTACTATGTTTGTTTACCATGTGACAATATAAAATGTAAAGGCAACCGATCTCATTTGACAGACACTTGACCCTTAACCTTGTGCGTTGTTGCACTTGACACTTGACACTTAAACTTGCGCGTTATTTTTTTGTTTCTCGAACCGTTGCACCGAACCGAAACCCCGGTTCAAAGACCAAAAAACCCCTTTGACGAACCAATCCAAAAGTGCAAAAACGGTTCGAACCGCTGAACCGAACCGACCAAATTTTTCATCCGGTTCACGTCCCTGGCTAAAATGCTAAAAGACGAAAGCTAACATTATTCAGAATTTTTAGCTATCTCCAAAAATTGCGGTTCTGTCCTCCCTTTCTCTAAAAATAGCTTAGCCTAAATTTTTTGGTGATAAATAGTCCATTTCAATGGTGATAAATAGTGAAAATTGAAGCATGTGATAGCAAAAAAATTAAATAGCAGCCTCACTTTGGTGTACATTTTGCTCAGTGGCGGATACAGGGGGGGGNCAAATTTTTCATCCGGTTCACGTCCCTGGCTAAAATGCTAAAAGACGAAAGCTAACATTATTCAGAATTTTTAGCTATCTCCAAAAATTGCGGTTCTGTCCTCCCTTTCTCTAAAAATAGCTTAGCCTAAATTTTTTGGCCATTCCTGTATCCGCCATTGTTTCGTCTCCTGTAGCGTAGCCATGGCTGTGGCAAAATTTTAGAAAATTTATGGATTGAAATTTCGTAATTATTTGCTCAAAGTGAATAGAGCTTTAAACATTCTTTTCACAAGTTAGTTTCAAAAACATTCGTATTCTTTTCAGGAGGTTACCAGCGATTTTTGGTAAATGTGTCACAAAGCAGCATTTGCATTCTAAAAATAAATAATAGCGGTGGAGAATTTGAGAATACTGAAACCTCAAGTGAAAATGAAGTGTTTTATGAAGGCTAACTCCTTTAGGAATCTCTCCTCAAGTCATATCTGCGAGACATGTAGTAAATATTTTTGTTTTTTTTTTTTTAATTTAGAAAGTGTTGGTTAGGGCCTTTGAGAATTAAGCATTATCAAATCGTCAAACTTATTTCAGGGGACATATTGTCGTCTCAGTTAGCCAATGATAGATGGCAGAGAAAGTTTTCGACGTTTTCTATTTCTTCGTCGTCTGTATAATGCAATGCGAGCAGATTTTCACAGCACGCCATGTTCTGGAGAATAGACTCGATACACGCCATTTTTTTTGTCGATTTTAAAGCTGCTTTTGATAGCGCGAAGATAAAAACTAATACGGCTATGTACAGTGAGATTAAGTACAACTTTCAGTTCCGTCCAAATTGGGAAAGACCCATCAGTGCTGTTTGAGATCGAACAAGTTTTAGACAAGGCGATTTCCTCCCGTGTGACTTTTTGAATCTGATGTTGGAAAACGTCATAAGAGCTGCTGATCCGAATTGCAGCGGTACCATATACAGCAAAAGAACTATGCCGCTGACGTATCCAGATGATATTGACATCGTTGTCCTGAAAGCAGGAACGTTAGCGCAGCAATTTACAGCCCGGAAAAAGAAGAAAAAGAGGTTGGTCTAGCGGTGAATGAGGACAAGACAAAGTAGCTCCTTGCAAAACATAAAGAGTCAAACGCGTTTTGGGACACATTTCACTTTTGGCAGTTATAACTTTGAAGTAGTGAAGGACTTTGTCTTGCCTGGAGATCAAGCGAAGAGTAACTCTTGTAAACAGGTGCTACATTAGGCTCGGTAGGCAATTGAAAAGCAGAACCCTTTCTCGACTAAAAAAATTACGATCTACAAATCCCTCACACTGCCTATCCTTTTATTGGGCGCAGACACATGGACGATGTAGAACAAAGATTCGGATTCGAATACTTCACACTATGTATTTCGAATCGCATTGAGTTTCGAATCGTAATACAGAGTAGACCCCTGTTTGCGTTGGCGACGTGCTCCGAAGAAAATGGAATGACGAACTTGTCGGGCTTTTTACCGACATGGACTTGGACATGTTGTACGCATGGATGACGAAGAGCTCCAGTGGACAACCGGTGGACAACAAAAGAAAGGGCGGCCACGAACACAATGCAAGGACCAAGTGCGGAAGGACCTGCCTGCTCTTCGCTTGTACAACTGGTATTACTTCGCAAAGGGGAGACGCAATTGGCGAAGCTTTTTTCTCGACCCAAGCCGACAAACGATTGTNAAAAGAGTCATCGCGTTTTGGGACACATTTCACTTTTGGCAGTTATAACTTTGAGGTAGTGAAGGACTTTGTCTTGCCTGGAGATCAAGCGAAGAGTAACTCTTGTAAACAGGTGCTACATTGGGCTCGGTAGGCAATTGAAAAGCAGAACCCTTTCTCGACTAAAAAAATTACGATCTACAAATCCCTCACACTGCCTATCCTTTTATTGGGCGCAGACACATGGACGATGTAGAACAAAGATTCGGATTCGAATACTTCACACTATGTATTTCGAATCGCATTGAGTTTCGAATCGTAATACAGAGTAGACCCCTGTTTGCGTTGGCGACGTGCTCCGAAGAAAATGGAATGACGAACTTGTCGGGCTTTTTACCGACATGGACTTGGACATGTTGTACGCATGGATGACGAAGAGCTCCAGTGGACAACCGGTGGACAACAAAAGAAAGGGCGGCCACGAACACAATGCAAGGACCAAGTGCGGAAGGACCTGCCTGCTCTTCGCTTGTACAACTGGTATTACTTCGCAAAGGGGAGACGCAATTGGCGAAGCTTTTTTCTCGACCCAAGCCGACAAACGATTGTAGAGTAAAATAAAAAGAAGAATAAGAAATTATCACCGATCTGCGGTGAGTTATATGTACATTAGACCGGTAGATAATTTTGCAAGGCCAAGCCAAAAAAAATGTTTTTTTTACCAAACCTGGGCAATGCACAAATTTTTTCCCAGGCTTTTTTTAACTATTTCTATTTGAACACAATATGTACTTCCTTAGCAAGACTTTAATTATTTAAGGGTGGTATTTTAGTGTGGGTGTACTTAGTTCAATGAACTTTGGAGCAAAAAAAACAACTGGCCCCCTCGAGACTAGAACATCGATATGAATGGTATGTACTTATGTATATCATGCTTTAAAATCCGATTGTAAATGATGAAAAATTTAAGAAGGCGGCCGCTATCACAGTGGTGCCAAATTGGAATTTACTGTACAAAATAGGCAAGAGCCTTCATTTTTTAACGTCTTTGACTTTTTTCGATTAAAGCAATTGACATTTAAAAGAGATTTGTCGAGCCAGATTTTTGAATTTTTATGGTTAGTGTAAAGTGCAGAGGTTTTCGAAAATTTCAAGAAAATTGTTTCTACTGTTCCTGTTAATGAATGTTACGTAATAAAAAGTAGTTAAACACAATTTAAGAGTTTCCCCAAAGTGAAAAAAGTGGCAAACAAAAAATTTGACGGGATTGAAAACAGAAAAAAACATCTAGCACCGCCAACAAAAAAATATTAATAAAAATTAACGCAAGTTCTTACCTTCTCGAAACTTCCATCTTACTATATTAAAACTTAATCGGCTGTAAAACTGCATACCTCAAATGTTTCATAAAATAAAAAAATAAAAAACATTTTGTATAACATTCCAATTTTCTTTTTGTAATTTTTTATTTGGGGGAACCTATAATTGTATTCAACCACTTTTTTATCATATAACATTCATTAAAAATAACTGCAAAATCAACGCAATCAATCAAAAATGTGGCTCGACAATTCTCTTCTAAATCTCAAAAAGTTTCATTTAAAAATATAACGAAAACGGTTTTAAAAATGAAGTCTCTAGACTATTTTGAACAGTAAATTCTAATTTGGAACCACTGCGCTACGTTCGGCCAGACTATTTTTTTTCGAAATTCCCTTCCAAAAATATTTTAGACTCGGGGTGTATGGCGAAGTTTTTTTTTGAGTACGGTCTAATGTACACAAAAAGTTTTGTTAAGCTGGCGGACTTTCGTGCGAGCGTTTAGATATTGAGTACTTACCGATCTGTGATTATTATAATTTTACGCTTTAATAATTAAAGACTTTTGTAGGTTTTCTGTTTTTCAACAATATATTTTTATATTAAACATTTACTCATCACAAATTTTATTCGAGTGTGAAAATATCAATGGGTTTACAAAAATATAATTAGACTTCTCAAACATTTCATTGCAACTGATTTGACAAAAAATAAATACAAAATTTAAAGCGAAGTAAATAGTTTACTATCTTTAACAGTCTGAGAGCAATGGAATAAAATACCATAATTGATCGTTATGCATAACTTTTGCGCGCCTTATTAAAACACTTATTAACAAAATTGAGATTATTTGCTTCTCTTTTAAAATATTTTTCAATACAATTTGTTTGATCAACAATACATTCGAGTCTCATTATAAACATTATTCGCTTAATTGAGTGCATTTTGTGCGCTTTTACTTTACATATATGTGTATACTTTCTTGTTCCATTTAAAATAGATATTTATTGCATAAATTGTTAACGCGTGCAGTCATGTGGTTAACACGTTTAGGCCGCAATGTAGATTTCAAACTCCTTGTAGGCCACCTCTTCACCGCCATATGGAATGTAACAGCATCCATGCGATGGCTGAACTTTGCCCACGGTGATGGTGCCGTCGTGTGTGGCGCGGCCAATGAATAGCGGCTCACCGTCAGAGGTCTCGCCACCAGGGAAGGCATTTGGTGGAATGTTACCATCCTTTACGGGCACCCATTGACCGCCGCCTGAGCACAAAACTTCATATTCGCCATGACCGTGTTCGCCGCCTCCCCAAGCAATGTAACAAACACCATGTGATGGATGTAGTTTACCGGGAATGAGGTCACCCTCGTGACGAGCGCGACCAATATATAATTGTTCGCTGCCATCGAAGCCACCCTCAACAGCGCTGGGCGGAATGGTGCCGTTGGCGGCTGGTACCCAACAACCGGGACCGCTGCCACAGGGTGGGGCGAAGCCAAAGGCGGGAGCGCTGGCCTGTGGAGCATCTGTGTTTTAACAANAAAATAGATATTTATTGCATAAATTGTTAACGCGTGCAGTCATGTGGTTAACACGTTTAGGCCGCAATGTAGATTTCAAACTCCTTGTAGGCCACCTCTTCACCGCCATATGGAATGTAACAGCATCCATGCGATGGCTGAACTTTGCCCACGGTGATGGTGCCGTCGTGTGTGGCGCGGCCAATGAATAGCGGCTCACCGTCAGAGGTCTCGCCACCAGGGAAGGCATTTGGTGGAATGTTACCATCCTTTACGGGCACCCATTGACCGCCGCCTGAGCACAAAACTTCATATTCGCCATGACCGTGTTCGCCGCCTCCCCAAGCAATGTAACAAACACCATGTGATGGATGTAGTTTACCGGGAATGAGGTCACCCTCGTGACGAGCGCGACCAATATATAATTGTTCGCTGCCATCGAAGCCACCCTCAACAGCGCTGGGCGGAATGGTGCCGTTGGCGGCTGGTACCCAACAACCGGGACCGCTGCCACAGGGTGGGGCGAAGCCAAAGGCGGGAGCGCTGGCCTGTGGAGCATCTGTGTTTTAACAAAGAAAAAACGTGTTAGATCAAGGTTTATATATGCTATTAAACTAAGCTCACTTACCGTCAATCAACCACGATCCGCTGGCACCCCAACCGGTGCATACGCCTACGAAGTTTACGGGGAACAAGTCTTGCGCATCGTACGACAAAAAGGCGGCTGCCTCACCCTCACGACCTACGGTGATTACATTATCGTACCAACGTATCCAGAAACCACGGTATTCGCTGGCTTCCAAGATGCCAGGCGTATGTACCTCCACCACATCAGGCTTCTGGCGATTCTTTCTGATCACCGATTTGGTATTCTCCCAGCCACCAATAAAAACTTCATATATGGGATCGGCCTCCACTGGCGCGGAGGTCAATGCCAAGTGAGCATCGTGCGCGGCACGCACTTTGAAATTGAATACAGTACCGGAGACTGGATGGAATTGGTATTCCAATTTATCGGGTGTGTTGATCTCTGTAAGATTATAGAAAATGTTAATTAAAAATCAATTGTCTTCAAGATGTGATAAATGGTGATAAATGAGCACGATTTTGGCGTGATTCAATTTCAAACTTAGCATGTTGTGGTAGAGGAGTTGTTAGAGAAATGTCAAACTCTCCACTTTCTTGACAATATTTATTATAGTACGAGTGCTATACATTTGCTAATTAGGTCTATATGCAGGTGATAATTGATTGCGGATTCAAATATATAAAAAAAACATTTTTTTTTGTTGTTGCAGTGAAGACTGAGTCATAATGTTGAACTGAAATAAATAGTTCGTAAAGCAGTGTTTGCATTGTTCAAATTTGCGCTCAACATTTGCGAACTGCTTTTAAGACAACTGTACTCGCATAAGCGAGAGATGAATGCCACCTACGACCTGTCGAATTTCAAGGTAGACTTGGCCCAGGATGGATCGAAAAAGTCTTGAAGCTTATATATTCTAAAGAGGGAGGATATATCTCACATAATTGGCTCTCTAACATACAACTGGCTAATAGAAGCATACGCAGAACGGCAGTGCCTTACCATAGATGCTACAGACGTTGCAAAATCTATGAGGAAGAATGAAAATCATCTTCAAGAATTCAGGATGGCAGGATGGAAGTCGTGGTATCACAACGGCTACCTACCTAGTAAATTGAAGCCATCAATGACTGTGTGACTATCCGCGTAACTTCCTCTTGAATAACTCAGTTTGTATTATGTTTTGTTGATGAGACTCAGAATGTATTAAAAATCTCTATAATGTTTGAGATGTACACGCTTTGCTTAAAAAAAAAATTAGATTACCCTTTACAAGACTCGTTGTAATGATATAAAGTTAATTTAGTATTAGATCGATTTCAGGTCAAAGCAAAGAATAGCAAACGCTTGCGCGTGGTAAATGCCAACCAACCTTCGTATGGAGACCTGTTGAATAGGCACTTGTACACTTCTCACAATATTATGCCTTTCCCAGCAATCTCGTAGGAGATAGAGTGTGGAAGTTTGTCATAGGTGTACGTGGCCCAGAGGGCGATCGCAAAACAGAACCCTTTGGAGTGAGTAACAAAATTGCTAATACCTCTATTCTTCTTCCACCGGAGGACGCTCACTTAAGGGCTAGGATTCGATCTCAACTTGCCCAGGAATTGCAGTTGCGGCACTGTGAGATGTTCTGTAGGCACATTTTGGCTGAAGAAGTTTTTGGTTTGTCGTAGTGCAACCATAATTTCCCCGAAGTTTTGCAGGCTTGAAGGTGCAATCTCTGACTATTCTAGATTACAACAATAAGTACTCTCCGATCACTGAAATACCCAAAACCCGGTTGTTCAGTTGATTGATTGATGTGCCGAATATAAACTTCATTCCTGACCTCTTCAAAACACAATTTGCAATTTAAGTACTTAAAACGTTGCAGTGGCTTTATGTTTCTAAATTATGCAAAGGAAGACGTTCAAACATTTCTTTAATTATAATAATAATTTGGCGTTTAAGCCTGTTAAGAAAACTCTTTTTATTACAACGCTTTTATCAACTTGCAATGTTGTGTGTCCAGAAACTTTCAATGTTGTGGATCCAGAAACTTTCAATGTTGTGTGTCCGACACCATAAAACCTTTGGTTTGAAAAGTTCCTATAAAAAAGCATAGTGCATAGGGCGACATCTGTATTGAATAGGGCGAGGTAGATGACATCTAGATGTCGCCCTATGTACTACGTTTGCTACAGCGGAAATAGACGACACGCCATTTCTTTAAATAAAATTAATTGGTGCTCGTTTGTATGTACATACATATGTAAATGCATGTGTGTGCACCTTTCTATTAATATCGTTGAATTATTTTAATATCTATTGCAAAATTTTATTCAGACAGGAAGAATAGTAGAAAATAAATAATATAAAAAAAAACTTTTTAATATACAACGCTTTTATAAATGGACTAAAAAGTAGAAAATAATACTTCTCAGTCCCATAGAATTTGTTTTGATAACTTTTGATTTTGAAATTTTAGCAAAAGTCATTATAAACAATCTATGAAATTGAAAATGAAAA